ATGGCTTCAAACTGCCAGAAGGCAGGGTTAGATGGCATATTGGGCAGAAATTCTTGGCTGTGAGGGTGGTGAGACCCTGGCACAGGTTACCCAGAGAAGCTGTGGCAGCTCCATCACTGGAAGTGTTCGAGGCCAGGTTGGATGGCCTGGAGCAACCTGGTGTAGAGGTAGGTGTCCCTGCCCATGGCAGGAGGGGTTATGAACTTTACAAGTCCTTTCCAACACAAACCCCTCCATGATTCTGTGACTGTGTGGATCTGACCCTCCTCATCTCTGGGGACATGTCCAAGGTCTGAGGAAAGAAGTGGCACAGGCACACTCCAGAGACAGGGAATAAGGGGGATGAGGAAACAGTTGCATGATTCTGCACTACCTGAGGGTGGGAATGAGCTGGCCATCTCCATGGGAGGCTTTCCACAGGATTTTCCTGTCAGGATCTGGTCTGTCCCTCAGGTGGAGCGRCGTGTGGTGAACCAGCTGGCAGCTGCCTACGAGCAGGACTTGCTGCCACGGGGCTGCACCCTCAGGATCACCGTGGAGGACTCAGACAAGCAGCTGCTGAAAACCACAGAGGAGTCTTCCACCAGCTCAGGAAAATCCAAGGTGCCAACCCTGCGGCTGGAGATTGTAGAGAAAGACAGCAAGGCCCGAAAACTAGAGATCCAGGCACCACTGAACCCCGAAAACATCACTTACTTCTTGTAGGCAGCACTGGGTGCTCATGATGGCAATTAAATACCCCACGAGTTGGAGTGAGCGGTGTCAGAGAGGGCAGAGCTGCAGTTCTGCCTCCACTGGACATGGACACAGGCACAGACATGGGCAGGAGCTGCCCCGGGCTGGGCATGAAGGGCTCTGGGGGTGCAACTGTGGGTGACGAGGTGCCCTGGTGCCATTCAGGGATGGGTCAGTGGAGGGTCCTGGGGTCTCACAGGGTGTTGGTGTTTTTAAGGAAGGGGGAAGTGGATTATGGACCATGCAGGAGCCGGGTGGATTTGTCATTCCCATGGGAGGGGGCTTGCTGGGATAGCTGGGGTAGCAAGCTGTGAGACAGGAACTGAGTGTGAGTGTAAAAGCCACCAATCACTTGCTCTGTATCATTCCTGTTTCTTTGTGGCAATAAACATGCTACGTGCACCCAACCCTTTGTGTCTCCAGAAGGACTGCCATCCTCATCCCAGGGCACTCCTRGGTCTCCTGCTCATCACCAGGAGCCAGGAATGTCACCAAGAGCAGGGAACACTGCTGGGAGCTGGGACCCACTGTCACATCTCCCCAGCCCAGCCAGGCGACATCCTGGTTCAAACCCCTCTCTGAATTTTTTTCTCATTATCCTCGTCCAGGAAATATTTAATCTCAGGTGGAACTGAGCTGCCCAGTTTTCCCCAATGGGGACACAGAGGCTGTGCCCCCACCATGGTGGCTCATTCAGAGAGTTGTTCATGATGGAACAGGAGACATGATCACTACTGCCCCCCCCAGCCATGGGTTTTGAAGAGTAAAACATGAAATACATACGGAAATTGAACATCCCCGGGATTAATGAGCCYCAAGTCACTGTCCTTTGGGATGCAGAGAGGATCCCCATCCCACTGTTATCCCTACCCCAATGTCCTCATCGGGGTTTAGTTCTGGTGGKGGCTCTTGTCTTCAGGGATACAAGGTTTGGTGTGGGAAACACCCTTGAACCCCTTCCTATCCCAGTTGCTTTTTCCTGGCTTAATGACAGGGGCTGGAGCAGGATCCCAACCCTGGAGTGTTTGGGAGTGTCACCAGGCTCTGCTGGAGCCTCCCAAGGTCAGATTCCCTTCCATGGATGCACACAGGAGTGCACAGAGGTGTGCAATGCGTTGTGCATGGGTGGGCTCCTTTGAGCACAGCTGTTTGCTGGGGTGTGCCCTGGGGTGTGTGCTCAARTGTCCATGGGAGCACAGGTGTGCCCGGCCATGCCATGCTGTCACACGATGCTGTGCCATCACACTGTGCCATGTCATGCTGTGCCTGGTCACACTGTGCTGTGCCAAGTCACATCATCCTGTTCTATGCCGTGCCAGCCCCATGGGACAGACCTATCCAGTGCACTCCCCAGGGTTTGGATATGGAATAGATGGACTGAAGTTGGCCAGGCAGGAGCCAGGGCCACAKGGTCCTCCTTTACCCTTTGAGGTGGTTTTCTTGGTGCCAACACAGGTCAATGGGCTCGCACTGCCAGGAAGAGTGCCTGGGATCWTGGGATCTGGAGGAAGAACCACTGGGCTGTGCCAGACACATTCAATTCCCAGCAGCCTAACCCCATGCTGGTTCCTGATCCCGTCAGGGCAGAGGGTGCCACCAGCATGGGGGTTCCAGACACCTTGGAGCATCCCAGCTTTGTTCTCAAGGACAATGTGACAGTGGAGAGAGGCCTCCAGCAGCACTGGGAGCAACTTTGGGGCTGGGGGACCCGCCAGGATCCTCTGGCACATAACTTGGGGCACTTCATGAGGCAACGAAGGCTCCAAAGTGGGAGATATGGGGATGGTCAGGTAGGTGCTCTCAGTCCAACCAAGCTGGGGCTAGAGCTGGGGGAATCCGGGGTGTGAGCAGAGGGGATCCTGCAGAGGAGTCCCATCAGGGGACCCATGGGATCCATTGGAGAGGTTCCATGAGGGGGGGCCCTCCCATCTGAGGGGATCCCATTCAAGAGTCCCATTGGAAGGAGTCTCCCATCAGACAAGGGTCCCATCRGAACGGTCCCTTTGGAGCAGCGCTATCAGAGGAGTCCCATTGGAGAGGATCCCATCAGCCCTCCCCCCACCAGCTCTGGAAGGACCCCAACCCACCCAGGCACATGGACAGAGCCCCCAGCCCACAGGCAGCCCCCAGCACACAATGGGATGGAGGGACGATCCCGGTCCCCATCTCYCCAGTGTGCCCAGCCCTCCCCGTTTTGGGGGCAGGGGGTGTTAGCCTCCACCCCCCTCCCCATTCGGCAGCTTTGGGGACATCTGAGCACCCCACTGCCAGCACCCACTTCCCTTCAACCGCAGGGATCCCCCACATCCACATCCCACGGCAGCCGCGGGATGCAGGACAGCTCCCTACCCCCCAGCTGTGCCCCATCCCGCTCCCCTCCATGCTCCCCTCCCTCTGCTTTCCCCCTACATCTCCCTCCTCCTCCTCCTCCTCCTCGCCCTCCCCGCTCTCCCCGGCTCTGGGTAGCACCAGCAGCTCCTTGCGTGGCAGATTGCTGCCTAATTAGTTTAGAGGGAAAATTTAATTGAATTAACTTTTCACAGCTCCAGCAGCCCGACAGTGGGGCCTCGCTCCGCGCCAGCCCCACGCCCTGATCGAATTAACTTGTTTAGCAACCTGCCCGCTCGGCCGCGCAGCTGGGGTGGGCGCGGGGGGGCTCCAGCAGCACCCACCGGGGGCCCGGGGGCTCGGGCGGGGGAGCGGATGATGATCCGGCCGGGGGCAGTGGGGGCTGCTCCAAGGGAACGAAATCCAGGAGGGAGCAGGACCCTTTGTGGCTTAAGACGTGGGGCAGAATGCAGGATGGGGATGGGGCAGGGCTTGGGGCAGGACAGATGGCAGGGCATGGGCCAAGATACAGGGCAGGAGATGGGGCAAGATGCGGCACGGGACACAAGATCGGATATGGGACAAAACACAGGGCAAGACACAGGGCAGGATGCAGGGAAGGAGATGGGGAAGGACAGAGGTGATGGGACAGAACGCAGGGGAGGAGGTGGGACAGGATGCGGAGCTGGATACAGGGCAGGATGTGGGGCAGGACAGGTTCGAACCGATCCCACAGGACCCAGGCAGAGTCCGTTCTTCCCACCCACCCCCGCCCTCCCGGCCCCCTGGGAGGCCCAAAGTCCTCCATTGGACACAATTAGATTGTTAAATCCTCTTTAGTGAAAGTGTTTGTCTTGAAAATGTCCCAAATCCCGCCAAATCCTCCCCAAATCCCCCCATCCCCCCTCCCCACATCCCCTCTGGTGCCGCTGAAAGGGGGCGAAAGCCTTTGCCTTGGTCCCTGCAGGGGGGTGGGGGGATGGGGTGCTTTGAAATCCATCCGGCCTGAAAATYGGGGAGGGGGATTTCAAAGGCCGGAGTCCCCCCAGGAGAGAGGGGTGGGACTGAGCACCCTCCAAAGCCTCGTGCTTCCCCAATGCACCCAGGGATGGTGGAGGGCACCCAGCGATGGGGCGTGGTGGCTTTGCTGCCCTCCTGCCCCTGGGATGCTCAGCCCCAGAGGGATGGCATGGCATGGCATGGCA